ACGCCAGTCTGTTTCTTTTCTTCTGGTTTCTCTATTTTTCAGTAATAAGAAGGTGAGTTTATCCAAATTCCTAATATCTAATAATTTTATTATCCAATCGTCCTCTTTTGGAGTCGCTTCTTGTCTCCATACTTTAGCGTAGCACATTCTCGCGGCCGTTAGTGCCAAAAATAGTATTTTGTCTTTGTCCTTATCTAGGTTCCTGCCGTACATCCCTAGCAAAAATAACTCCGGTTTCAATGGTATCTGTATTTTTAACATGCTTTGAATTTCTTCATGGATCTTTCTCCAATATTTTTTTGCTTTTTTACATGTCCACCACATATGGAAGAATGATCCTTCTTTACTCTTACATTTCCAGCATATCGTATTCGTGTTATTGTAAGTTTTCCCTAAATTGGGGGGGGGGGGGGGTTTAAATACCACCTTTGAGCTATTTTAACCCAGTTTTCTCTAAGCTCTATTGCTTGTGTAAACTTTAGTCTTTTCGTCCATATTTCCTTCCATTCTTCTTTTCCTATGGTTCTTCTTATGTTTTCATTCCATCGTCTCATAGTTTTTCTCCTCTTTTGGTTCCAAATGCTATTCTAACAATTTTTATATATCTTAGTTATCAACTGTTTCCAAGATACTATCCCAGAATTCATTACCTTGTGCAAAGCCTAATTTTTTATCCAATTTAAATTTCTCTTTGATTTGCCAGTATTGCAACCACGATATTTTTTTGTCAATCGAGATTAATTCCTGCTGTTCTTTTATTTCTATTTCTCCTTGTTTATTCTTTAAAATTTCTTTATAAGTTGGCCAATTATTCCAACCTAGGCATTATTTTTGTTGGTACTTCATAACTGTAATTTTGCTATTGTTGCAAATTGTAATGTAAATATCTAATATGCAGGATGTATTTTCATTCACTGGGCCAAATTTGGCACACATACCCAATATACTGGGGGGGGTGGTGATTTTGTCATTTGGGAGTTGTAGTTGCTGGGATTTATAGTTAACCTACAATCAAAGAGCATTCTGAATCCCACCAACGATGGAATTGAACCACACTTGTCACACACAACTCTCATGACCAACAGAAATACTGGAAGGGTTTGGTGCGCACTGACCTTGAGTGTGGAGAAGAGCAAACCACTGACCACCTGCTGCAATGCAACCTGGGCCCTGCCACATGCACGATGGAGGACCTTCTTGCGGCAACACCAGAGGCACTCCGAGTGGCCAGATACTGGTCAAAGGACATTTAATCAGCTACCAAGTTTGCAAAATTTGTGTGTGTGTGTTTTTTTAATCTGTTTGCTTGTTTTGTTCTGTTAGAAATGTAATACAATCTTCTGGTTGCGGATGACACGATAAATAAATACCTTGAGTTTTGGAGTTGTAGTTCACTTACATTCAGAGAGCACTGTGGACTCAAACAATGATGAATCTGGGCCAAACTTGGCGTACTCTATATACCCAAATGTGAACACTGGTGGAGTTTGGGAAAAATAGATCTTGACATTTGGGAGATGTAATTCATCATCATCTTTAATTACTTATTAATCGCCCTCCATCCGACATGCTCTAGGCGATTTAGTTGCTGGGATTTATAGTTCACCTACAATCAAAGAACCCCACCAATGATTGAATTGGGCAAAACTTCCCACATAGAACCCCCATGACCAATAGACAATACTGTGTTTTCTGATGGTCTTTGGCGACCTCTCTGACACCCCCTCGCGACCCTCACAGGGGTCCCGACCCCCAAGTTGAGAAACACTTAGACCTAGATGTTTTGGTATTTGAGACAGTACATCCAAAATCCTATACGGTTCCGGCCCAGTGTATCTGTCTGAATGGATCTCCCTCTACGTCCCACTCCGGAACCTAAGATCCTCCGGGGAGGCCCTGCTCTCGACCCCACCTCTATCACAAGTGAGATTGGCGGGGACGAGGAGCAGGGCCTTCTTGGTGGTGGCCCCCCACCTGTGGAATTCACTCCCCAGGGAAATTAGATCTGCAACATCGCTCCTTTCCTTTAGGAAAAAACTAAAAACATTGATTTGGGACCAGGCATTCGGACAATCGGGCAGATAAAGAAGAACTTTGACGATGACTAGGAAATGATTAATGGATTAGATCTATGGAACTCTGGAAAACGAAATGCTGATCATGAGAATGGTTTTATATGATGTTTTATATGATGTGTTATGTACTGGTTGTTTGATTGTTTTAACTGTGATAACTGCTTTTAACTACGTTTTTGTATATTATGTGTAATTTGTATAGGCATCAAATTGTGCTTTTTTTGTAAGCCACCCTGAGTCCTCCTTCGGGGGTTGAGAAGGGCGGGGTAAAAGCATCCGAAATAAATAAATAAATAAAATGGTGCCACTTTAGCATTCATTCATATGAAGCAAAGTCTAGCAATTTAATAGATCTGCTCTTCTTGGGGTTAGAAATTAGATATATATGTTATTGCTAAACCTTCTCTCTCTTACATAGCAATCTCTAGGATGTGCTCCATGACAGCTATGTTCCAGAGACCCTCATAAATAGTATACACTGTCGTCTTAAACACACATTGCCATTCCTGCATCTATTCCAACGTCATCTGTGCGCATTCAGAAGAAGACCTACAAGCCACTCTAAACACCTTCGCAGAAGCATACGAGAAGCTCGGCCTGTCCTTGAACATCAAGAAAACCAAAGTGTTCTTCCGGCAGTCACCAGCCAATCCCTCTCCAATGCCAGAAATACAGCTTAATGGTGTAACATTAGGAAATGTTGACCATTTCCGCTCTCTCCACAAAGGTCAACATTGACAATGAAATACAACACCGCCTGAGCTCTGCGAGTGCAGCATTTTCCCGAATGAAGCAGAGTGTTTGAGGATCGGGACATCCGTAGAGATACCAAAGCGCTAGTTTATAAAACTATTCAATCAAATCATTTATTTCGGTCATAGACCAGCACAGGGAATAGAAATCACATTTTCATACAAACTAAAAATAGAAATATAACTATTGAATCACAATGTGTGTGAGGGAGCGGAAGGGGAAACAGGGTAAAAACATACAATGCCCAGATCCATCACCAAATTGTAGATTCAGGGAAGATGATTACTGGACACACAGTTAACTTTTGGGGCTAGTCATCCCCTGACGTATTTTGTATGCTGCTGCACAGAACTGGCACGGATATCCCTGTCGAACGGGCACTGAAGGGGCACATGTTCTATTGTTTCTACATAACCTGAGTCACAGGGGCAGAGAAATTGCAGTACATGGAGGACTCCAGCCCTGTGGGAAGGTGTGCCTGCTTGTAGACCGCTTTTTTTGTGTTTTTTGTTTGTTTTGTTTTGTTTGTTTGTTTGTTTGTTTTGTTACTTGAGCTCGCGCCCTCCATATGGGAAGTTTAGCCTCACAACTCTGTGTGTTTATGAGTTCCCCGTAAATATCCTGCTCCTATTTTATCTCATTACACTTTTTAATTGTCTTATCCTTTACATGCGGCCCGCCCATTATTATCGTTACTGTGCTTATTAGAATGTCATTTTATGACTTTTTTTTTGTAATTCTGATGATGTTGTTGTTGTTTGCTGTTTATGTTTTGATTTTATTGTTGTAAAATGTTGTCCAAGCTTGGCCCCATGTAAGCCGCTCCGAGTCCCCATCAGGGAGATGGTGGCGGGGTATAAATAAAGTTTATTGTTGTTATTATTATTGTTGTTGTTGTTGTTGTTAAAGGGATCTTCCGGTAGCGGCCTTTGAGTACCACTGATGGGAGAGCATGGCATCGAGCCAGGGTGAAAGCCCTTTGATGAATAGGAATCTCTAAGTTTGTTGAATATGATTTATATGAGCTCTGCGAGTGCAGCATTTCTCCGAATGAAGCAGAGAGTGTTTGAGGACCGGGACATCCGTAGGGATACCAAGGTGCTTGTCTATAAAGCTATTGTCCTCCCAACCCTGCTACGTGCCTGCGAAACATGGACTGTCTACAGACATCACATGCAACTCCTGGAACGATTCCATCAGCGTTGCCTCTGAAAAATCTTGCAAATCTCCTGAGAAGACAGCCGGACAAATGTCAGCATGCTGGAAGAAGCAAAGACCACCAGCACTGAAGCGATGGTCCTCCGCCATCAACTCCGCTGGTCTGGCCACGCTGTCTGGATGCCCAACCACCGTCTCCCAAAGCTCTACTCCAAACTCAAGAATGGAAAATGGAATGTTGGAGGACAGGGAAAGAGATTGAAAGATGGGCTCAAAGCCAACCTTAAGAAGTCTGGCATAGACACTGAGAACTGGGAAGCCCTGGCCCTTGAGCACTCCAGCTAGAGGTCAGCTGTGACCAGCAGTGTTGTAGAATTTGAAGAGGAATGAATGGAGGGTGGTAGAGAGAAACGTGCCAAGAGGAAGGCGCGTCTTGGCCTCAATGCAGGAGAACATGTAGATCAAGAATAGGGCTCCACAGTCACCTACGTACCCACTACCAGCACACCGAACTTGGAAGGCAATCTTACTCGGTCAACAAAGGATCGCCTAAGTATCTATTCCAACAGCCGCAATTCCCTCCCCCATTTACCACTAGAGACCATCAAAATTCAAGTCTTACATTAGCAAAATGAGAACACATCATCAGTGCGCCTGATGCAGGAACACTGTATTGCTTAACAGCATGCTGATTTTTGATGGCTTGTACAACGAGCATTACTTTGCTAAAAGCACAATGTTCTTCAGCAAAGAGTGGCATTTGTTGATTTAGTCACGGGAAACACACTGTAAAAATCTCTCTACACACCATAAACACATGCCACATACATATTTGAAATTTCTCAAAATTCTGTATAAAAATACCTAAGGCAGAGAAATACCAGGCATATATGTGTATAAAAACCATTTCACCTGCACAATAAAACATCACTGCAGTTTGTACTCAGACCTCCAAAATGCCATAGGAAAAGGAATTCAGAGTATGCTGTGTTGTTGATCCACAGCGGAACGTACCTTGCCAAACTGTTCAAAGTATTGCTTTACATCTTCCACTACCGTATTAGCCGATAATCCACCTACAAATATTTTCTTTGTTCTTGTGACCATCTGTAAGAAATTAGAAAAAGAAAGAGAGAAAAGAGCATTAGTCCAGATTACTCCAAAACAATGCCTGTCATAGACGTATTTTTTCAGATGCGATCCTTAATCCAGTTAACAAAAATCTCTCTCTTTCCATGAAAAGGAATGTACATCCAATTCAATTACGCGAAACACGGCTGTTTGGTTAAGAGTGCTTTGATGGCTGGGCCGAGGCATTCACCAACCCTAATGCCCACTGGGTATTTCCTTTCAATAAGCATTTTCATTTTGAGAAGGCTTTCTCTCTCCAGTCATATAAAATAAAGATGTGGCAGCCAAGCATCAAATATTTCCTGCAGACTGACCATCATTATTTCATAGTCAAATCCTTGATGTTAACCACCTCCAACACTGTATCGGAACCCACACTCACACCTCAGCTCTGTACCAAAGACCTCAAGATGTAAATGTGGGCCTGCCTTTGGCTGATGAGATAGGGTTGTTGTTTATTTATTATTTATTTCGGTTACTTCTACGCCGCCCTTCTCAACCCCTGAGGGGGGGGGGGACTCAGGGCAGCTTACAAAAAGGCACGATTTGATGCCTACACAAGATATACATACATACAAAACAGCAAGTTAAAACAATCAGTACATAACACAATCAATAAAACTAATCTCATGTTCAGCGTTCAGAGTTCCATAGTTCCATTCCGTTTAATCAATTCCTGTCCATCGTCAAGTCCTTTCTTTAGCTGCCAGAATGTCCAAATGCCTGGTCCCAAATCCAAGTTTTCAATTTTTTCCTAAAGGAAAGGAGGGATGTCGCTGATCTAATTTCCCCGGGGAGTGAATTCCACAGGTGAGGGGCCACCACTGAGAAGGCCCTGCTCCTCGTCCCCGCCAATCTCACTTGTGATAGAGGCGGGGTCGAGAGCAGGGCCTCCCCAGAAGATCTTAGACTCCGAGGTGGGACGTAGAGGGAGATCCGTTCGGACAGATACACTGGGCCGGAACCGTATAGGGTTTTGTAGGTCAAAACCAGCACTTTGAATTGTGCTCGGAATTGGATCGGCAGCCAGTGGAGCTGACACAACAGGGGGGTGGTATGCTCCCTGTATGTCGCTCCGGTGAGCAATCTGGCTGCCTCTCGCTGGACTAGTTGGAGTTTCCGAACAGTCTTCAAAGGCAACCCCACGTAGAGTGCGTTGCAGTAATCTAATCGGGATGTAACAAGAGCGTGGACCACCATGGCCAGATCCGACTTCCCAAGGTACGGGCGCAGCTGGTGCACAAGTTTTAATTGTGCAAAAGCTCTCCCGGCCACCGCCGAGACCTGGGGTTCCAGGCTCAGCGATGAGTCCAGGATCACTCCCAAGCTGCGAACCTGCGTCTTCAGTGGGAGTGACCCTGTCCAGCTGTAACCCTATGCCCTGCTCGGCCTTACGACTGACCAGTAGGACCTCTGTCTTGTCTGGATTCAATTTCAATTTGTTAGCTCTCATCCAGTCCGACACAGCAGCCAAGCACCGGTTTAGGGTCTGGAAAGGCTCCTTGGTGACAGGTGGAAAGGAGTGACAGATTTGGACAACATCTGCGTAGAGATAACATCTCATTCCGAAACTCCGAATGATCTCCTCCAGCGGCTTCATGTAGATGTTAAATAACATCGGGGACAAGATTGAACCCTGTGGGACTCCACACAACAACGGTTGTGGGGCCGAACAGGTGTCACCCAATAAAACCTTCTGGGACCGTACCTCAAGGAAGGATCGGAGCCACTGCAGAGCAGTGCCCCCGAGCCCCATGTCCATGAGGCGCTCCAGAAGGATACCGTGATCGACGGTATTGAAGGCCGTTGTTGTTGTTGTTGTTGTTGTGTGCTTTTGAGTCGTTATAGACTTAGGCTGACCCGGAGCAAGCGCCGAGTAAATGACCTTGGAGGGCCGCATCCGGCCCCTGGGCCTTAGTTTGAGGACCCCTGACGTAGCGTCTTCCAAACTTTTGCTAACACACTTTATATATTATTATTATATATTGCTATATAATACATATATTATATATATATTATTGTTATATATATGACAATGTAATATGATGTTACTTTGGGATGGTAGAACAGAAGCTTCCGAAGCTCTAGGTGCTCTTACTGCCTATTACAGGGAAAACCAGCTGATCCCCAACCCATCTAAAACACAGACATGTGCCTTTCATCTCAAGAACAGAGAAGCATCCAGAGCTCTGAAGATCACCTGGGAAGGAATCCCACTGGAGCATTGCAGCGCACCCAAATACCTGGGAGTCACTCTGGACCGTGCTCTGACCTACAAGAAGCATTGCCTGAACATCAAGCAAAAAGTGGGTGCTAGAAACAATACCATACGAAAGCTGACTGGCACAACCTGGGGATCACAACCAGACACAGTGAAGACATCTGCCCTTGTGCTAGGCTACTCTGCTGCTGAGTACGCATGCCCAGTGTGGAACACATCTCACCACACTAAAACAGTGGATGTGGCTCTTAATGAGACATGCCGCATTATCACGGGGTGTCTGCGCCCTACACCACTGGAGAAATTACACTGTTTAGCCGATATTGCACCACCTGACATCCGCCGGGAAGTAGCAGCCAATAGTGAAAGGACCAAGGCAGAGACATCTCCAGCTCATCCCCTGTTTGGGTATCAGCCAGCACGTCAACGAAATCAAGAAATAGTTTTCTAAGATCTACAGAGACACTCGCTGGAACACCCCAGCAAGTGAGAGTCCAAAAGTGGCAGGCTCAAACCCAGAACCTCAACCAATGGCTGATACCAAATGAGAGACCCCCCCTGGGCACACAGAGGACTGGGCGACTTGGAAGGCGCTGAACAGACTGCGCTCTGGCACCACGAGATGCAGAGCCAACTTTCAGAAATGGGGCTACAAAGTAGAATCCACGACATGCGAGTGTGGAGAGGAGCAAACCACTGACCACCTGCTGCAATGCAACCTGAGCCCTGCCACATGCACAATGGAGGACCTTCTTGCAGCAACACCAGAAGCACTCCAAGTGGCCAGATACTGGTCAAAGGACATTTAATCAACTACCAAACTCACACATTTTGTATTCTGTATTTTGTATTGTTGTATCTTGTCTGTTTGTTTGCTTTGTTCTGTTAGAAATGTAATATAAATGACTGGTTGCTGATTACTTGATAAACAAATGATGTTACTATTATATATTACTATATTAAATAGACGCACAGAATAGAGTTCGAAGGGACTCTACCATGGTATTGGGGGAGAACAGACAGGAGGGAGGGAAAAGGGGAAGGAATGAAGGAGGGAAAGGGGGAAGAAAGGAAAGAAAGAAGGAGGGAGGGAAAAAAGGAAGCAGGGAAGGAAGGAAAGAGGGAAGGAAGGAGAGAAAGTAGAAAGCAAAGATAAAAGGGAAGAAAGGCAGGAAAGAGGTAAAGCAGAAAAGAAGGAGACAAGGAAATAAAATGTGAAAGAAGGAAGCAAACAGGGAGGGAAGAAAGGGGACAAAGGAAGTAGAGAAAGGGGGAGGGAAGGAAAGGAAGAGAGAAGGAAGGGTGAAACCAAAAAGCGAAAGAAGGAATGAAAGAGGTAGAGAAGGAAGAAAGGAGAGAAAGGGGAAGGGGAAGAAAAAGGGGGGAAGGAATAGGTACTTCTACTTCAAAAATTCTTACTATAGGCCACAGCAATGCATGGCAGGGCACAGCTAGTCAACAATAAAATCAATATAGAAACTAAATTATAACAATAACCTTCTCATCTTCCTCTATGTTGAGAAGGAAAAAATAGGTTTGTCAACACGTGATCTCAATTTCTTCCATGACAAAAGTGATCTGCTCCACAGGTTTGTGGACAAAGAATGAATGAAAACAACTATTGAAAGTGTTGGAAAAATCCAACTGAGAATCTGAATTAACAGAAACAGCTTAGAAACTGCTTGCAACAATTAAAAAAGAACTAAGGAGGGCGACTTGGTGCGCGACAGAAGGGTGCTTCCCTGCCGAAAAGCTGAGGCTGCTTCGCTCTTCTGTTTCGAAGCTTCTAAAGGCAACTCTGCAGAGGCTCAGAGCCCATATCTATGGCTACACAAAGACATTCAAGAAGGTCGGATTTGCTTGTTCTAGGAGTATGCGGGAGACCAGGAAACAGCGCAAGGTGGAAAAGAGCAATAAAGAATTCACCTCAAATCACAGAAGAATTGCATAGAAATCTTAACAGGTGTCAAAAACAACCCGGAGTGGCTTTTGGTCACAGCAACAAATGTGTTGTGACTTGCGCTGTGTGTGGGAGCATTCTGTGACTCTGAGGATCAATTAAAAACTAATTTTAGTGAGATTGTCTTGTGTGCAGCTTAGGCAGCTCGGAGTGGGAGGCATTCAAGAGAAGAAGCCAACAAGGGAGAAATTATTCTTTGGCTGCAAACACCGCTGCTGGAAGACATTAACTTGAACATGCAACACCTTACAACAGGGACCTGAACAGTTCCCCGAGTTTAACTGAGGATATTGTTCACTGAGTCAAATGAGGGCATGCACAGGGCAAAGACTTCAGTCCGGCACGAGATCTGCAAGCTTTTCAACTCCACAGTCTTCTGACGGGCACAAGAAAATGTGTTGCCACATTCCCACTATTTGAAGGGAATCAGACAATAGTCAACCCTCCATGTCCAGGGATTCTGTATCTACAGATTCAACCATATGTGGCTTTAAAAAAAAGCAAATCTTGATTTTGCAATTTTATAGAAGTCAAAGGAGTGCGAGTTAAAGCCTAAGGATCTGTGAAATATTTATTGCTCTTTGCGCTTTGATCCAGTACAGTAGGGGAACTGTAAATCCCAGTAACTACAACTCCCAAATGTCAAGGTCTATTTCCCCCAAACTCCATCTGTGTTCATATTTGAGTATATGGAATATTCATAGAATCATAGAACAAAGGGTTGGAAGAGACCTCATGGGCCATCCAGTCCAACCCCCTGCCAAGAAGCAGGAATATTGCATTCAAATCACCCCT